ACTAATAGTAACAATATTAATAATAATATTACATTTGGCCATTTTCTGACAATATAATTCTGAAATGTGTAATTCTACAATTCTCCATTATTTGAATTTTCAATTTGTAGCAGACAAATACATATACATATATTCTCGCTTTATAACTTTTGTATTATTGTTAACAACATTAAATTACATTTCATCAACTGCAATAATATTGATATAAGCAAAAATAGCTCATTTATTCTGAGTATTTTCAATTGAATTTTCGATCGAATAGCAATGCTCTTGTTGCGCGAAAGTATACAATTGCACTTGCATTGTAATCATCTTGATTTATTATAAAAATACTTCTAGATGATAAAAGAATTACTAAGGAAAAATTATGGTAAATTGAATGTTTTATTCCAAAGAATAAATAAATGAAAATAGTAAATTCCAGTATTTCGTTAATCACTAGTAAATAAATAAATTATTTAAAAAGAAAATTATACTAAAAAATTATAAAGTTTTTTTTTAGTAAATGTCAATTTTTTTCTGATTAATCTAGCTTTGGAAAAACTGAATCCAAAAAATAAAATACAGAGAAAGACAAATTTATCGAATAAAAACTCGATAGATTCTATCTGCAGTACATTATGCAATACTATGAAAAATAATTGGCATAAATCAAATAAAAAGTCGTTCTTGGATATCATGCACTTCATAGTGTTGTTAGTTTTTCTTTTACCATCTCATACAGGAAGCCAAGCTTTATCCTTGTATTAAATGTACCTCGTTTTAAATCTGCTTAACTCTCATCCGTAATACTTTTATTTAATAAATATTTTGTACATATTAACGTGTATTATGGTTCAAAAACGGTGATGAATTGAAAACCAGGATATTTCCGAGATATTTGATCCTACTAGAGATTTTACTAGAGTTTTTCAAAGACAGTTTTTTAAAAGGTCATTGAAATTATGTTATAAAGAGAAGAGTTTCAGTTTAACGACCACAAGATATTTTCTCATGGAGTTACTGTCGGTTACGATTGTGTACGCGTGTTTGTTTCTAAAATATTGAAATCGAATCAGCACAATAATGAAAGAAAAAGAGAACTGACAGTGGTCGAAAAATAAAGGCGCGTAAACGTCGAATTGCGCATCAATTACGATGAGGGCTCGAATTATTTGCGTGGCCGTCCGTAAAATTGCACGAAGAAGAAATCCAAGCTAATCCGCGTACATGGAAATGTTCAATCTTGTAATCTGAGATCGAAATAAAATAAACAGTCAGTTAAAATGTTTCGCCGCGAATATATGGATTAAAAGTATTTCCCTCCCTTCTCTCTCTCTCTCTCTCTCTCTTTCTCTGTCTCTCTAACAGGGATGATTATTGTAAATCCGATGACACATAAACCGGAATCGTTTATCTCAATTTATAAGTACTGTGCTAAGTGGCGATGAAAAGTTACGCTCGGAATTCCGCTAGCAAGTTATAACTATGGAATTGTAAAAGCTCGCACAATCGATTGGTACAGTAATCTCATCCCGACGAAACAAAAGCACAACAAAATTCGGTTCGCGCAAAAAAAAAATAGACGCTAGAGTTTTACAGAAAGGAATTTTCAGATATTAGGTACTTTTACACGCGCTGGCGAAAATGATGAAAATGCGTATATGTATACATATACCGTTAGAACAGAGTTGGACTTGGTTGGACTCTCATCTAAATTTCTATTCGTTTCGTGTGGCACGCATCGCAAGTTCAGGGTGTCAGTAAACTCTATAGCCGCGCATGGTGCAAGGATAAATTCCGGTTATTGGGATTGGGCCGGGATTTTTATGGGAATTTCAGAAATCCATTGAGGACGTTGATCCTGTTTGATTCCACATCGCGTAGTTTTTCGCTTACCGCAACTCTATGCTCTCTATTCGAGAGAAAACAGTATTTTCAGGACAAAGGTATTTCAGGATACGGTCGCAGTACTGTAATTATTATACGTAGCTGACACACTTTAAAGTCATGTAATTTAACAATCCGCTGCGCTTGCTCCCGTTTTTTTTAATCACGAGCCGAGAAACACAGACGATACGTGTTAGCCAGTTCGTAGGTGCTTATAAAGTCCCGAACGATGTCAGTAAAGGGAAGTACGTTATAAAGGGGATATCGAAGCGTTTTTACGGGAAAGACAGAAGGTTTATTGTCTGTTTTCGATTGATTTTTCGTCCTTTTATCTCTTCAACATCCCAAACACTCTTTTCATTCCTGCAATGTCGTTTCATTGATGTACACGACACGTGAAATTACTGTTGATATTTAATTCATGATGAACTGTTGTTCATAACACTTCTCCACTTAATTTGAGCCTTAATTTAAAAAGTACAAGTTTAAAACAAACAAATTGCAAAACAATTTCGTCCATTAACTTTAACTTTAGTGCGATTAAAGTCCATTAAATCAATCATGACACGATTTTTTTCATACCTAGAAACCTTTTTTTTCCTTTATTAAATCAATCTTGCATCATGCGAAATAATTTATACACATATCAATTTCATCATATTTTGTTATTAAGAAATAATTATTTTTTCATTAATTATTTAGAAAAAATTAGTTTATGGTTTTAATGTGTAAAAAATAAGTAAGAATGATTCTGTAGTTATTTTTGTAATGAATGTTTCAATAACTGAATGTTTCAATGCAATTTTATGCGATTTCATAAAAATACATTGAAAAACATATGGTTATGTGTTATTCGACGAATGGTAAAACCAGATTTATATGTCAGCGAATGAAACGAGTCTGTGTAAATAAATTTCTGGAAGAAACGATTTTGAAAAGCCCACTCCTCGATAACGATGCTTTTATAGAATTGAGCTTGGTCGAGAGATGAATGTATCAAATCGTATAGAATTTCCATTCGTTGGTTGAAAGCACTGACATCCTACACGTAGAGGGAGAGTACAGTGAGGTGGAATGTTAGACAAAAATGAAGGTATGGAAGGAATTAGAGAGAGAGAGAGAGAGAGAGAGAGAGAGAGAGAGAGAGAGAGAGAATACCTCATTATCACATGTATATGTCCTCGATGTTACCTGGAAAAATAAGTATCCATTTGCGAACGTGTTAGAATCTTTGAATATACTTTTGCATAATACTTTTGTATTATTAATGGACAATTAGATAACAGAAATTAAGAAAAAATTGTTTATTGCATATTATTTATTGGTAAATTTTTTATTATTTGACCGACAAAATCATGAAAAAAAACTTAAATGTGTCAATAACGGCAACATATCACAATATCATAATAATTTATAGGTAAATTTCTTATTGTTTAGCTTGCAATTTAAAGCAAAAGATATAATTTCTTGGATAGGTAAATGTTAAAATTTTCATATGCGAATACATATATATATATATATATATATATATATATACATATAGCGCTTTTCCTTAAAAAATTTAGTCAAAAAGCTCTAAACCATTTTTTTCTACAATGCTCAATGAAACTGAAATTATTGCAATATTGAAAGAATAGAACTTTGTGTGTGTGTGTGTGCGTGTATGTGTGTGTGGAGTACGTACACACACACAAGTACACGTACAAAATTCTATTCTAGCAAATTTTATTTAATTTTTTATGCCACGAAAATATTTTTATAAAACAGAAATTAACAAATATATTTATTTAAAAAAAACTGTTTATTCTTGAAATAACATCATTCAAACAATAAAAATTGTCCGTTTTTCGAAACTCTACCGATCATTTCTGTAGTACGCAGTTTCATAATTACTTACCAGAAAAAAAAAAATAAAAATAAAAATGATAATCAAATTACATAGAAAATAGAGATACATTCATAGATATGTTACAATGTCTATTGTCATTATGTGTCTATTCTACAAATAATATAATACACAATATAGTTAATAATGTATAATAATATGTAATAGACAAACAAATTATAATCAAAACACAAATTTGTATAACTATATTCTAATTAATGCTATTTGCTTGTGTTTATAATATTAAAATAACATTTTTATCTTCCAGTTGTATACAGAATTTGATTTTGTTCTCTAGATATATTTTTTTCTAGTTAACTATAAGAAAGTATTATTCTACAATAACGATAAAAGCCTCATTCGTTTTTTAAATATTTAATTTCGAGTAATATCTTTAATTTTGCAAAGATGTAATGAATATATCATATGTATTATCAATAATAGCTGTTATTAAAACATTGCACGACTCATATCCGATTTCTTTATATTATTTTTAAACATTTTTTTTCCATTCTTTGAAAAAATGAGATAACTTCGTTTTTTATACAACAAACAATAGCATTAAAAGCTTATAAAAAAAACTTATATGTGAATGTATATTTTGCAAAATGGAAAAATCTGACATATTTACTATTCAACACATATATACGATTGACCGAGTAACATTACTGTCAGACGATGCTGGTGCATTGAGTTTTATAATTGTGACAGAAACATCGAGACTACAAACTAGACACGGAAAATGGAACGAAAGGTACATAGGGCTCGTAACGAAGTTTTCAAAGACAACATCAGGTTTGATATCTAACAAGTTTATTCCACTAGGCTGCCGCGACAAAAACTGCAAGTGGAGATCTCTATTTTCCACCATCCGTCGCCATCAACCCGCCGCAATCTCCTCGGCCGCAAGCCGAGCTTGTATTCTCCAACATTCTGGATAATATAAAGGGAGCTTTTTCCATACAGTTCGCTCAAAAAAACTTTGAGTTTAACTGCAAAAGCGAGACGTTAAAGTGAACCGCTATTTACCGCTTTGATTAGAATTTGCGATTTCAATTAGTAAAGTTTCGATCATGCTTTATGCTTAATATGTTAATATAAAATAATCAATATATAAGTCCACAATTATTTTTCTCATTTAAATATGAAAAATCATATGTTTCTACATAAGATTTAAACCAATTTTCGATAATCTCCGAGAATACAAATAATACAAATATAAATATTTTTGTTCTCTAAATATTACCTCGGTTTCTGGTGACTGCACTATCAAGGACGTCCGTGGTGGTTTCTCCGGTGGTATCTTCTTTAGTGTACCAGTGAAAGAGCTGGCAGGTAAACTGGCACTCGTCGCTGAAGCACTTTCGTGGCTCTCGATCTGGCACTGAAGTCGGTGAAACTGGGAAAACGAAGTACGCGACACGTCGGCACGATCGAATTGCGGAAGGCATGGTAATGGCATTTGCGACATGTTCGGTATCTGAATGGAATTCGGATCGGAAATGTCGTGTTGCACACGAGACGTCAGTTTCTCGCACACAGACGACTGGCAGGCTTGAAGGGTGGTGTTCTGCGGGTACGTAGTTAGAAGCGTCTGGTGAAGACCATGCACTGGTTGATGAGTCGAGCAAGATTTTTCTGATGACTGTTCTTGATGATTCGAAAGAGAATTCGCTTGAACCTGATGGATATCGCTTGTCAATGGTTGCGTAAAATCGCTGGATATCTTATGAGTCTTATCATTCAATTGACTTTGATTCTGTAAACTTTGTAATCGAGCTTGGAAGTCGCTCTGTTGATGCTGAAATTGCGCTACTTTGTCCAAAATCTGATTTTGATTCTGAAGGCATTGCAACTTGGCTTGGAGGTCGCTTTGCTGACGCTCGAACTGGCTTAGCTTTTCGGATATTAAATCGAGGCTTTGTTGATTCTGTAATTGCTGTTGTTGAGCGTGAAGAGAGTCTGTTTTCTCAATCTGATTTTCCAATGTATTCTGTAAGCTCTCCGTCTGGCTCTTACTGTGAGTGAGCAAGTTAGATGAGGTATTGTGACTTTTACGACTGTGAATTATATGATCGATTTGATCAATTGGTTTGCTGGTAGTCTCACCAAAATCAGTAACCACAGTTAACACGGTCTTTGTGTCCAATTTTGCTTCGCTGAGAGCTGGATATTGATGACAAAGATTCGGACTGGCTCTTTGCGATGAAGCAGTACTAACTACCGAACCGAGATTTACTACGGAACCTGTAATGGGTTGCTCATCGAAATCTTTTCTCGAGAGTTCCATATGTTTTGTCAAATCAGCGCTAACGTGTCTTAAATGTCGACGTTGCTCCATTATAGTGCTCTGACTAATATTAGGAAGAGGTTGAAAGGCCGATTGAGACATTCTGGATTCTTTGCGATCATCCGGCGGATGAATTGATCTGATATCTCTCCTTTCCTCCGACGGATTACGAGAACGAGGACTTGTTGTAAATATTGGACCTTGTATCATATTTCTTTCGTGTTCTTGCCGTTGACGTTGCTCTGCCCAGATTGCTAGCTCCTGTCTAGTTTTCTCAAAATTTTGGCTAACAAAAGAAGGACTTTTTTGTCCGGCGCGATCAACAGACGTTTCGCGAATTGGCACAAACGGCATAGGCGATCTTCTTACATCCTCCATTCTCTTACCTTCCAAATTCATGGGTGATCTTCGGTGCTCTTCGAAATAATCTGAGCGTCTGTTCTCTGGAGGGATGACATTTCTTTGATTCGGACTCACATTACCCCATTCGGATTTTCTATCGGCCGAAATGCTCTTTCTGTTTTCTTGTCTCGTATCAAACGCCATTGGCGATACACGTAGACTCGTATCCAACCTTCTTTGCTCGGCGGGGAACATTTGATTAGTCTCGACTCTCTTCGCATCTACTCCAGTCGTAGTTTTTCTTCCTGACATAATCTCTTGATTACCATCACCAGGAAATGTAAATGTTATTGTATCGTTACGTCTTTGGAAGCTGGTAGTCACATCGACAGAAATGGATTTTCTATGCTCCGATTTAGATACGTATAAACCGCACTCAGTGGCAATTGTATCGACTAGTTTTTCTCTGCTTGGCTGATCACCATTAGTATCGACATACAAACCATCCTGTCTTGTCCTAGGATTTTGATTAATTGTGGTCAAATATCTTCTATCCGGACCATCCGGACCGATTGACGCACCCGTCATAATAATGGCGCCATCGCTACGATGAATTGAATCCTGTTGAGCAATCGGATTTGACTCATATTTTGCCTTCTGCAATGCCGGCACGTCGACGCTAGCAGACTTTCTATGTCCAGGATCATGAGTGGTGATTTTGGAATTGCCACGAGGCGGCACCATTGGTTTTGGTCCTCGGCAAGGTCGCTCCGTCGTCTGGATAGCGATTCCGTGAGTCACATTCTGAGCGATCGGCTGAATGATCGGTTGCGTTTGATATTGGCCGATTTCTTGCGAAAATCTTTGTGGATTCGGCGACTGTTGACTGGGATATTGCTGAGCCGGATAGACACTGGCGTGTGGATTGTACGGTACGGCGTTCATGACCGTTTGCGGGTATTGACTATAAGGATATTGTGGCTGAGTACTGAATTGAGCATAACCACTTGGTGGTGGTGGCACGACTATACCCGAATAATAAGGTGGCTGTGGACTGGCAGATTGCGAAGATATCTGTGAGCCATGCTGAACCGTTACGTACTGACCCTGTCCGGTGAACATCGGATTGGTTGTACCGCTCTGACCGTAGAGATTCGGATCGCGATAAGTGACATCTCTCGTTACATAACCAGCTCTATCGGAATATTGCGTTTGCGGATACATCTGTGACCTGATCTCAAATTGTCCTCGTATCTGCGGATATTGATTTTGATCGTAATCAGATGCAAATTGTGGTTGCACTTGCACCGGTACCGTCTGAGTGCTGGTCTGAGACACATGTTGAGCCCTGTCCGCGTTGCTTTTATCTTGACCATATGGCGGGGGTGGCAGTTGACCCGTTGAGGGATGTTTATCTTCCGGTAATCCTACGGATTGTCTTCTTCCTGACGGATACTGCGCTATCGGATGAACAAGTTGTTGTTGTTGCTGCGGCTGCTGATCCTGAATTTGTCCGGTAGCTAAGGTATGCTGTATCCTTTCTTGAGTAAATCTCTCGTAATCCAACGTTCGATTCTCGAAACCGTTAGACAAGTCCTGCTTCATGGTGTCAGCGAGTGGCTCAGCACGACCGTTCTGGCAAGTTGTCTGTTGACTGTCCGTTGTTTGTCCAGCCTGGTTCTGTCCTTGAGCGTCGCTCAGTCCACCTGACCCGGACTGCGACATGTTGGTGGCCCCCACCGACGGTCGTCCGCCGATGTAGCCGAGGATTCGCCCCAATCCACACACTGTGACGATTTAGTAAGCGACGTTGTCAAAAGATCTATGCGCTAGTTTGAACGTTGCCACTGCAGTTATTATGCCTTTTTACTTGCATCAATTCAACTCGAGGCATGTAAACGTTAATCTTGCTATCGATGTTTCCAATTTTTTGGAAAATCTTTGTTTTTTTTATAAATTTTGGATTTTTTTCTTATTCTTTGGAATAATTATTAGTTTATTCGTCTATCGCTTGTAGAAGGGGTAGGGAGGTAGTTATTAATTGATTCTTTAAGAATTATATATATTCTAGTTTATTTTGCCTCGTAAAATAATAATTAAGAGGTAATTGATTCATTCATATACGATATTATTTAATGAAGAGGATAATGGAAAATAATCGATGAAAGAAAGAATCATCGAACCTACTAATATTTCTTGCTGCAGTTGATTCACTCGCTTTGCCTTTCTTTGACAAAACGAGATTGCAGTGGTGAAGCGTTTCTCTTTTTCGTTTCTCCACACACTCTTCCGTAAACACTTGGTGCTTCAAACAATGTCGTTACATACGGGAGTTATCCTCTTTTCTTCAATCTCACTTTGTCCGTTATAGAAGTTCTTTTCAGGGTGGCAGTCTAAAACAATTCGTTCTTCCAATAGTAACGGTCTTCATCCTTTCTCGACATCGTATACGTACGTTTCTGTTTATATTTGTGCAGTACGTTTTTAATATGTTTATAAACGTAGACTTTTGATTATCTCGATATTGATTGAAAACACTGTGGCTATATGTAAATTTTTCCAAACGTTATACATGGCGATAATCTGGCTTTGATCTTTCATCCATACTCCTCTATACATCTTTTGATTGAGCTGTCTTGATTTTCTTTCAAACTTTCTAGGCGTAAACTTTTTGTTTTTGTTTGCTGACGATCTCTATCACAATTATTCGTTAACTTAACCAGAAAGAGGAAAATGTTCCGATCCTATCAACTTCATATATATAAAAGCACTGCTTCATTAATGCGGCCGTTGTCACTAATACTAAAGTTTGCATGTCTATCCAGCTTCCGCATATTTTTGCACAAACTTTGCAGCCAATCCAACTTATCTGAAAATACACAATTTCAAAATGCACCGTAGGCCTTTCGATGCACCTGCGTCGTGGATTTTCGCCCTCAGTGGCCAATATAATATAAAAATTCTCTTGTTTTAAATTGTATTATATTGTTGTCAATTTTTACGCAAAAAGGAGAGTAATACTTGTTTTTAATCCATTGACCTTAAACTATTAATTAAAGATTTTCAGAATCATTACTCAAGGTACAAATTTATAAAAAATTCTGTCATCTTTTAATTATTAACCAAAAATTTATAATTTTATTTGGATTCTATTCTAATTTCATTTATATTAATAGATTAATTAAAGTTTTAACCCAAAATCTAAACTAAAATAATTTTCTAAATAATACACGGAATGTTTAATTATACTGGTTATTCCGTTCTACGATTTATTTTACTCCGAAAAAAGCAGAAAATTGTTTTCTCGATTTCCCAAGCGTCTCGTGATCATCGTATTTTCTACGAACAGAGCCATCTTTCACTGCCAGAAAGTTAGTTCTCAGGAAATAGCGGCGATGAAAAGTTCTCATCGGCTTGCAGCTAACCGATAAAATATTAGTAACAGTAAAGTGCTGAAAATTCCTGTACCTTCGTCAGCTTATATTGAATAATCAACAATGCTGTACAACTTGTGCTTTATATTTAACACTAAGATTACTTTTTCAAAGTAAAGTAATGGAATAACTCTTTCGTTTATATTTCACATCTCTGTACTTTGAGACTTTTAATTCGATATTAGAGAAAAATTTAGTAATGCAACTTAATTGACTTTTTCCTCTTCAAAAAATAATCAAAAGTTATAAGTTCGAAAAATAATATGTTATACATCAATAATATATTCGTAATGATTGATGTATAATATGTAGATTATTTTTTTCAAACTTAATATTTTTAACGTATTTATACTATTTAATACATAAATAAATGTTGATATAATATTTTAATTGTATTATTTAAGAAATTAATATTGCTGAATTTCCCCCAAAAATTATAATCAAATAACTAACTTGTGATGACTAAAATTCTACTACTTTAAACATATGTGTGGTATCAGAAAAGATATAAACACAATTATTCTAGATATGTCTAAGGAAAAGTACGGCTTATAAAATGAAAATATATCTAAGAAGCAGTGTCGTACTTTACAATTTGTTATATGTAAATGTAAAATTATTGTTTCTTTCGTTCTCTCTTTCGCATATTCCTACCATATTCTACTTTTTCTTCTGCAAATACGTAAAGCACGTATTACGTGCATGTACATCAGTGCATCTTCATATATTTGCTCGCATTCATCACTCTACTACATCGAAAATCTAAGTGTTTGTAAAGTAGAATTGCAACAGATCCATATCTATGTATTCATGCACTTGTACATCCTCATGAATCAGATTCTTAATATTCCTACTATTCTATATATACGTAGAACCGTGCACGTTTGTGCTTACGTGAAAAATCAAGCATATGTGAACTGATTTACTTTTGTTGACATGCATATAAAAGTTCAAAGTTGTCATCAATTTTTTGCAATTTTAGTATACAGGGTGTTCATAAAGTATCGGACCCCCCCCCCCTCTATCTCAGAAAATACTAACTGGATAAAAAAACTATAAATACAAAACTTTTAGGAATTCCAGTTAGTATTTTCTGAGATAGAGGAGG